TTTTAAAAATTATTTCTCTTGAATGATATTTTATAATATATGAAAAACTAAAAAGAAAAATAAAACTTAAAAAAAAATTTAATACTCTATATAGTAAATATTTAATTTTTACATATAAAAAAATTAAAAATAAATATCGTGTGTGTCAATATATATATATATATATATATATATATATATATATATATATATATATATATATATATATATATATATATATATATAGGGAACGTCTAAAATGACACCAGTTACTTATACACCAGTTACTTACACACCAGTTGCTTACACCAGTTCGTTTGGGGTAACTACGGTGCTTGGTTTGTAAAAACGACGGTTCCTACCCCCTCTAACCCTCCCCCTAAACCTCACACCCCAGCCCCACCCTTGCCCCCCACCCCAGCCCCCCTTCCCGCCCCCTCCCTAGGGTGGGGGGGCAAGGGTGTGGGGTTTAAGGGGAGGGTTAGAGGGGGTAGAAACCGTCGTTTTTACAAATGGAGCACCGTAGATACCCTTAACAAACTGGTGTAAGCAAATGACACCGATATATATATATATATATATATATATATATATATATATATATAAGCCGTTAGATCTAGTAAGTCTTTGAGATCCTATCCGATTTCTTATGGGGTTATATTTGGGATCTTATAAAAAAAATATTCTCTCTCTCGAATCTCGATCAGATGAAGATACTAAATCAGCCCCAATTTACGGTATCCTTTTTCGTCTTCCAACCACGAACTGATAGGAAAGCGACGGCGCTCTCACCTCTCTCCATTTGCCTTCGCAGCGGTGTGATCTCCCTCCGATTGAGTTTCACGGAGACCTCAGATTTCAATCTGATAATGCTCGGTGATTCCATTGGTGCAAAATTCATAGTTGCAAAGATGACCTTAGAATCTCTGATCCATAATAGGTTTATGGGGGAGGTGCAGCGGTGCGATGCCATCAAGTAAGCGGAGGTCAATCTGGTGATTATTGTGAATACATAATGTTATAGTTCTTCCAAATTACCCGTGTAATGCCTGGTATTACACTTTGAGGAATGCTTGCAATATTTCTTCACATAGATTTAGATGCAGCATTTGAATTATCATGAATCATGAATTTCTTTCTTTGGAGTATTTTCTTGGTCCAGAGGTTATATCTGCCTGCTACCTGTGCTTTTGTATGATTTAATTTGAAAATGCATTATGGGTTAGAGTTGTGTGCATCAGGCTATTGTATCTGAGAATTTTTGAGTTGTGCATTTGATGCATTTTTGTAATTAGGGTTTTATGTTCATATATGTGATGGGTGCTTGAATTTCCCTAAACTAATTATGAGATTTTGTATTTGGAGGTTGTAGACAATGCATCAATGGCACCTAACAATGCATCAACGAGTAAATCACTACGAAGAATATATATTTGTCTCAATTTCAAGTTTGATACAGTTTGGTGTTTATGTTCCTAGATGGTGAAGCTGGATTCATAATTTATTTGGATATATAGCACCTCTAGTTAGTTGATTGAAAGCTTTCTTGGTATTGGAAATTTGCTCTGGTCCAGTAAGATGAACCTTGGAATGCTACACCTTGGTTTTACTTCTAACGAAGACAGCCAATTAGCTGGTTGGCCAAGCTACTTTTGTATTTAGACACCTTTGCAAGCTTTTGTGATGTATATTGTTTTTCCAACTACAAGCTTATAAAGGCCCATTGTTATTATGCACTATTAGAGTCGAGGTAATGCATTTTCATGAGAAGACAATGCATTTACACGAGAAGGCAAAAGATTCACCGAAAGAAAGTAAAAGATAATGTTATAAAAAGCACCCAACGGCTATGTTTTATATATTTCACTGTGTTGTTACTATTTATATCAACACACTATTTGTATATTGGTAGGGCTTTTGAAATGCTTAACATCAAAACCCGCTTATGGAGACGAGTAATTTTAAATTAAATTTTATTGTAGCAGATTAATTTCTCAGATTATGACTTCAACTCTCTGGTTTTTATTCTATTATGTTCCTCTCTTATTGCATATTTGTTTATACGAATTTCACATCAATTTGATTTTTATTTTATGTTTAATAAGGAGTGGGTCTAATTTCACGTGTATTCTCCTTGTTGGCACCATGAAACATTAGTGATAAACCAAATGTTATATGTGTGCAATTATACACAAAATTTATGCAAAGGCTACTCTTGCAAATGCAATATTTAATGCTAAACTACACCTCTAAAGGGCTGTTTGGCAACTTCTGAATAGGTAAGTGCTGAACCAGTAAGAGGTCTCAACCATTAAGTGCTGAACCAGTAAGAGGTCTGAACCATTAAGAGCTATTATATTGTTTAACTATTCAGAGGTAAATGTCTGATCAATTCAGATAAGAGGTCTTAACCATTCAGACTCTGTATAATACTTAACCATTCAGAGGCAAATGTCTGAACCATTAAGAGGCTGAAACAAACAATCTGAACCATTAAGTGTTGAACCATTCAGACATCTGAACCATTAAGAGGCTAAAACAAACAGCTCCTAAATGTATTGGGCGATTAAATCATGATAATCTCCAAAATGCATTACACAAATTATATGGTGTCAATTAGAATCAACGTGTGGTCAATTATTTGTTGTCAATTAGAATCAATGTCTAGTCATTAACTAAATAAAAAATATATAGTTTATTAATCAAATAAAAAAATTGAAAATATTTTACAATATTTTAATTGAAAAAATATTTTTATATCAAATATCAATTTTATTGTATTTATCTAAAAATTAAATTCATATTCCGGTGCACAATGCATTCATCTCTATCCATATAGTATACGCTTCTCTTAACCAATAGGAGAAAGATAAAAGTAGGATTAAAACTTTGAAAATATACCAAAATAGGACTTTCATAGTTTTATTCCCGAAATAGGACTTAAAATGCATTTACATTACCAAACATGATCATATACATTACCAAAAAGTATAGTAATGTGCATATGTACAATGTCACGTCTTATTTAGAAAAAAATATGAAAGTCCTATTTTACAACTTAATTAACAACTACAGATACATCTGTGCATGCAAATATATATCAATAACAAAAGTTCAAAGAAAAAAATAAAAATTTATGCACTAAATAGCACTAAAACTTAAGTCATTTCCCAAAATAGCAATTAAACTGTTTTATTTTCTAAATAACACTTAATAATGTCCAAAATGAAAAATAATATCCAATTATGACGAATATTTACTTGAATAATGACTAAAAGTGCTACATTGGAAAATAAAAGATGTATGATCCTATTTAGGGAATGTCATTACGTTTTAATGTTATTTAAGTAAAATTCCCAAAAAAAATAGTGCATGCAACATCTCTACTTCCATGTGCATTATTGTGGAGAACTTGAGACTCTCCACCACATAACATAATTTAAATAAAAATTAATAAAAGTTGTTGCATGCAGTATTGAGAAAGAAAGATAAAACAAAAAAGTAGTGTTTTATTTTTACCAATGGCGCAGGATGTGGGATGCAAAAATTTGGGTGACACGTTTGCAATTTTAGTTTACAATATTACCCTTGCATCTCGAAACTTACCTAGTCTATTCAATGCAATTATACCCACCATAATTACTTGACATCTTAATTTCATTCAAGGAATTAAAACCAACCGCACGATGCACCTATTTAGATGGTTACAATTTATTCTTATTTCTTTCACAAGGGATCATATATATATATATATATATATATATATACACACACACACACACACACACACACACACACNATTTATATTTATATTTATATTTATATTTATATTTATATTTATATTTATATTTATATTTATATTTATATTTATATTTATATTTATATTTATATTTATATTTATATTTATATTTATATTTATATTTATATTTATATTTATATTTATATTTATATTTATATTTATATTTATATTTATATTTATATTTATATTTATATTGATATTGATATTTATATTTATATTTATATATATAGGAAAAATTATTTTGAAATAGCTAATTTTACCAAACATTTTTAACGATCAGCCAATTCATCCTGTCGGTCAAACCAGCTAAACTAAACAGTTATTCACAACAGCTACTGCCAACAGCCAACATCCAAACAAGGCCTATATTTGGCTGATTATATAATATTACCTGCAAATTTTTTTTTGCACGCTAATATTCTATTACCTCCGTCCCAGAGTATTTGTCCACTTTCATTTTTATACACCATCCAATACAGTTCTTTAATCCATTTTATCTTGTAATTTGTATATTAAAAAATTATAGAAATTATATATTAATAATCTATATGTTAAGACAAATCAAACAAGATCACACATTACTATATTTAGGCTTACACATTGAGAGAATTTGATGAGTCAAAGTGCTTCGATGAACAATTCCAAAAGTCAAAAGTGGACGAATATAGTGGGACGAATGGAGTATATTATTTTAGCTTACATGTTACATCTGAAATAATGAATAGATTGTATATCTAAAACACGCCCTCTATTGAAGTTGGTTTTTTCATAAACTATTCACACGGGTAAATTTTATTTATTTATAAGGAAACAACTCAATCATAAGACTTTGATATCATGGCAAGGAATCAACGCAACCACAAGCTCAACAAGTTGGTTTTAGAATACTTTATAAACAATTCTAATTTTTGTAGAATTTAAAAAAAATAATGAACTCACATAATCCGTGGACTTTAAACAATCTGACAAAATCTTATAAAATCTTGATCTTGACATCTTGTACATAAAATGCATTAAAATCTATTCAACTCTATGTTAAATTAAAACAATCCACACATTTCACATAATCCATATATTCTAAAATAATTTCTCAAAATCTTTTGAAATCGAAATTAAATACACTTATCTAAGTTGAGAATAATATGAACAGATACTACTTTCTAGTATAGTCAATAGCACTAAAAAAACGCCTATATATCTGTATGTTTGAGCTAACCTATTATGTAATAATAAGCCTATTATGAATGCGTGCTTCTTGGGTGCATATTATTTTGTGGACCTTCTTCCATATAAAAATATTTGTTTATTTAAAAAAAATGCTTATTTAAGTAATAAAGATATAGAAATCACCCTAAATAGGATTAAAACATAGAGAAAAGTAGCAAAATAGGACGTTCATGTTTCCCCCCCAAAATAAGACTATGTACTGTGGTAATGTGGTTGTAATGTAACACTGTACATGTGCACATTACTTTACTTTTTGGTAATGTACATAACCATGTTTGCTAATGTAATTGCATTTTAAGTCATGTTTCGGGAATAAATAATGGAAGTATTATTTTGATATATTTTCAATGTTTTAGGCCCCATTCCGTTCAACTTATTTTTTCTTATTCTTATTAAGATCATATCAGATCAGGTTAGACCAGATTAGATCAGATCAGATCAGATCTAATCAGATTAGACCAAATCATATTAGATCAGATCTCATTAAGAATTATTATATTTATTATTATTATTGTTGTTGTTGTTGTTGTTATTATTATTACTATTATTCTTAAAAATAAAAAAATAAAATTTAGAAACAAGTTAAATAGAAAACTGAGAAAGTAATTCTTAATAATTAGACGTCGGAAAAATTATTTTTAAAAAACATTGACAATGTCAATCTAATTCTTCTTTTAAAATACGTTTTTATTGGTACGTGTAAATTGAGTTTTTGAAGTTTTGATCTTTATAAGGATGAGATATTTTAATAAAAATACTATCTCTTCTCTATATTGATTGTCTAAATTTAATTACTTTTTAATGTATATATAAATTAAATTTTTATTCTAATGTATATATGAACTAATTATTAAAATATTAAATCAATATTCTTATTTTACAAAAAAATAATCATAAAATAAAAAATATTATTACATTATAATATGAATGATTATTCTAATATATGAATTAACTAATTTTATTTTATTAAAAAATAATCATAAAATAAAAAATATTGATTATATTATAATATGAATTATAATTAAAGGTTTTCAAACGTTATTATAAAGTCAAATCAAATTATTGATTTAAATTTTAAATCAAATCATAATTAATCAGATCAGATCGGACCAGATCAGATCCAATCAGATCAGACAAGATCAGATCAAATCCAATCAGATCAGATTAGATCAGAACTATAAAATATCAGATCAGATCAGAAAAAATAATTTGAACGGAACGGAGCCTTATTCCTACTTTGATCTTTCTCTCATTAAGAAATACTTATTTTACTCAGGTCCACAGTGAATGTTAAGTCTATCATAAAATTTGCTATTCTAAAGTAACCTTTTTATACGGGAACAACCATGCTGCACTTAAATCAAAAAGTGTACCCCAAAGTTACACCAAAGATATACACTAACATTTATATCATTCACACTGATACAAAATGCTAATACATTAATAAATATTTGCACTAACATTTTGTGTCTCTCTGAACTATCCTCCAACTTTACCACCACAATGCAAACTTGCTGGTACAAATATAGCTTAATCCCTACGGGAGTGAACTAACCTGTAATTCTATTCCCAGGAGACCGCTTCAGCGCTCCGTCCCATCAGGGGCTGTTTCCCTCAGAGGAAATTTTTTTTGAATATAATTCCCAAATGGGAAAGGTAAATTTCTGAGAAGGAAAATCGGCTTTTGACAAGCCGTTTTTTTATTTTATTAAATGGTTTTCGGCTTTCATAAAGCCATTTTCGTTTTTATTTTTAATTTAATTTTTTTTCGGCTTTTATAAAGCCATTTCAGGCGCTACAATAAAAAGCACAAGTATGCGCAGTGACCCCCCTTCCTTTCTCCATTACACACTCCACCTCTCTCTATTCCCACACTTAATCCCTTCTACTACTCCTCCCAATTCCACTACAAATAATCAAATCTTTTCCTTCTTTTTACACAATACACAATCTCTTCAACTACATCTCACATTCTTTATCTTCTTTTCTCACTAAATATTCAAAACTTATCTATTCTTCCATAATCATCCAAGAAGTTGAGGTATGTTTTCTTAGAATAAATCTTTATAAGATTTTTAAATATGTAATGCATTTTTTTTTTAATTTTACAATATGTAATGCATTTTTTTTAAATTTTACAATATCTAATGCATATTTTTTAAAACAAATTTTTTTAACCATTTTATTGTACTATGAGTAGATAGAAGCTCATTAAAAAATTTTTTTGAATCATAATGTATGATCTTGAGAGAGAAATAGCGGGTCCTAGATCGAGGGACATTCTTACTTTACAAGCTACACATCGTTCGCGTGAGGTGTGGCATAACCCAGATTTTATAGACAACAAAGTCTCTCCGGTTCGCTACGAAGGTAGTCTTCCAACGGTTTTTTTGATGATAGAGTTTATGAAATGTTGCACCGGTCAGGGTTTTATGGAGTGCACCGTGTGCAACCTATCTGATTAGACCATGGTGTAATCACTTCTCTTGTTGAGCGTTGGAGACCGGAGTTACACTAATTTCAGTTTCCTTTTGGTGAGATGGATATCACGTTACAGGACGTGGAATGCTTACTAGGACTTCCGATTGATGGACTACCCGTCATGGGCTTTGATTTAAATATTGAGGAACGGAATGTCTTATTTAGAGATGTTTTGATGTGGACAACCGAAGACACCCATTTTGGTCGTTTTGACCAATTCAAGATTGCCCTTATTTTTTATGGACAAACCATTCAACTAAATAATGAATGGCCTGATCAGATGGTGGCTCAATATACCGCTAGGCTCATATATGCTTATATGGGTGGTTTATTATTTCCAGATTCTTCGGGCATGTACGCACCAAATGATTTCGTGAGATACTTACGAGATTTTAATGAAACATCTACTTTTAGTTGGGGCTCTGCAGTTTTAGCGCGATTAAATTTTTTGCTCTGTAAGGCTGCGTTGAAGACTAACCCGCGAACGCGTCCCGGGGGTTGTCTTCTTCTATTGCAATTATGGGCGTGGACTCGGATTTTGACCATAAGACCCATAGTGAATTATGTTCCGAACAATCCACACGGGCCTCCCCGCGAAGACGACCCATTTGGTGCACGGTATTTATTTACATTAATTTAGATTATCGAGGTTATAACTTTTTTCTCTTATTTTATTCAAGTTCATATACATTTATTATTATTATTTAGATGGAGACAGACCAAGATGTACAGTGCCTCTGCTAGGCAAAATGTACGCTACTTTAGGAACCAACTTGACTCCTTGCAGTTTCGAAACGTAAGATTAATATTCATAAAATAATTTAGAAAATAATTTGTAAAAAATAGATAATGCATTGACTAATAATAGTTCTGACAATATACAGGTTGTTTGGCAACCGTACGATATTGATAACTTGCTTGCTTATTGTCGTCGTACTCCTCAACTATGGACTTTCCAAGGCTATGTTATTTATCATTCGATTATTGAGCCTGCCATGCCTATGCGATTCACACGAAAGTTTGGGATGTTGCAAACCATTCCTGAGCTTACCCATCCGTATACGGAGGCCTATCATAAAACCAATGGATGTAAATCGACCCAGACGGTACAAGCATGCGTGGCGCAATGGAGGGATAATCACTTCGCCCTTACCGTTTTCCATGAAATGGAGCCCATAGTAGGAGAGAATCCATTCCAAATTACCGTGGAGTATGCTCACTGGTTTGCAACGTACGGTCGGCGTATTATTGGAAACCCATATCATCGACCTCTAGAGGGATCTGAAAGTACTTCTGCCAAACTTGCATTCTTAGTAATTTAGATATTATAAATATTTACTCATAATAAAATAAATACATCACTAACTGATTTTTTTCGCAGGTGAATACAATAAAGAAAGCGGAGCGTCGACTCGGTAAAGTTCCCGGAGCGGTTGCAGCAGAGGTTCGAGACAGCCTTAGGGGTGCTTTAGAAAACGTTGACCGTGACGAAAATGAGCTTGTTGAAGACGAAGAAATGCATGGAGACGAGGATGAGTTTGATGCTGACGAGTTCGAGACTGGTCCATATTTCCCGCAAACTGACAATACTCAACCCGGTCAAAGTACCCAAGAAGATGTTTTTGGTGCGACACAATTTGACACAAGCAATTTGGGTGGTGATAACTTCGCATCCTCGTCCATACCGCATGACTACGATAACAGGCCGGTGATGGATTATTGGTTATCAGGAAAAATTCCTTACTCCGTCCCCGGTATCAGTTCGATGAAATTGATGGGCATCGACAGTGATAGGTTATGGGAAATTTTTTTCCAAAAGGCCATTCCCTTGGGTTTACTAGAAGTATACATCGACGATGCTCGTGCGGGTGGAGATGAGGCCGGTCCATCGAGACATATTGATCGTGTTCGTTCTCGGGGGGAGACGATTGCAGATGAAGTTATTGACAACTCTGACTCTGATGATGATGAAGAGTACATTCCTTCGGACGATGACATTGACACAGAAGAACATTGGGTCAATGAAATGGAAGCTGAAGCTGATGAAAGAGGAATTTCTTGTGCCGTGTCTAGTGGCCCTCTTGCAATAGGTATGACCTTTCCCAATTATGAATCACTTAAGGATGCGGTTACAAAACAATGTGTGGCAAACAATCGTTTTTTTCGAAACGAATACAAAAAAGCGGGATCATGGGCATGTCGGTGTTGGTATTACAACAAAGGCCCACCCTGTTTTTGGCGTGTTCAAGCACAAGGATTAAAATCTGGAGTTTGGAAAATAAAACAATTGCGAGACGTGCACACTTGTCATCCAGATTATTCTCACGGTGGCGATGATTTAAACATCGATTATTTCTCCATTGTCAGAAAAGTACGTGTAGATCCGGAGTACAAAGTGAAGTTAATCCAACATGATGTTTTACAGGAATTTCATGTTCCTATGTCGTATAAAAAATATTGGTTAGCTCGGATCCGTGCTACAGAGTTGTTGTACGGTAGTTGGGAGAATTCGTATTCTCAACTTCCTATTATGTTGTACAATTTACAAAATTCTTATCCAGGAACTGTAGTCGATGTTGTCTATGCATCCGAACCGCCAAACCTTAATGCCACGCCTGAAGAGACCCCGTGCTTTAAGTATGCATTTTTGGCGTTCGCCGCGGCAATACATGGATTACAATACTGCATGCCTGTAGTGACGGTGGACGGAACTCATTTGTATGGAAAGTACAAGGGTCATCTCCTTCTTGCGGTTGCCATGAATGGTAATCGTGAAATCTTTCCTCTGGCTTATGCGGTTGTTGACGGAGAAACATGTGAGAGTTGGGCTTGGTTTTTTCGCCTTCTTGTTCAGAGGGTTATCAGCTCACAACAAGTCTGTATTATTTCTGACAGACATATTGGAATCATCAACTCATATCGTGACCTTCCAGAACTACAGACCAGATTGGTAATGAAACGTTTTTGTCTTCGCCACGTTCGGAGCAACTTCATGACAAAGTTCCGGAACAGTGATCTTAAAAATTTGGTTTGGGCCGCTGGTAGTACACATAATATCCAACAGTTTGAAGGATATATGGCTGAAATACGAAACATTAGTGAGGAGGGATATAAGTATTTAAATGATATTCCCCGTGCGGCATGGACCCTTTGTTTTGATGGTGGGTTTAGGTGTGGTATCTTAACGACAAATATTTCTGAGAGTTTCAACAATATGCTGAAAGGTTGTCGAATGTTACCTGTCACTGCCATTTTATCCATGTCCTATGCCAAGATGGTTGAATTGTTTGCTAAAAGGTACAAGCTTGGTATTCAGTGGCAAGAACAGAGCATGAACATTACTCCGAAAATTAAAAATGTTCTCCTTAATCGGGAGAAAACTAAGCACAAGTGGACAGTCTCAAGCTACGATAACAAGCAATACGTAGTGACTCACACATCTCGAACAGATCCTTCTTCCATTTACAACTACTTGGTCAATTTGTTTAGTAGTGTATGCACTTGTGGGCAGTGGACTTCCGATAGTATACCTTGTGTTCATGTTCATGCTGTTTACCACTATTTTCGACAACAAGTTCCTCACAACATATTACCGGCTAGGTACTCGGTTCAAAACTATTTGAATTGTTATAGTGGTATAATTCAACCTGTTCTTTTCCCTCAAAATTTGGATGTTGGCAGCTTTAAAGTTCTACCTCCCAAACGGCCAACAGATGAGATTCCACGTTCAGGGAGACGTCAACGCAATCGATACCAGGGTGAGATGGATTTCAGGGCAAGGAGATGATTTTAGTTTAATATTTTTTTTAGTTTGTATCAGGGGAGGTATTGTAATTCTTGTTTACTTCAGATGTTGAGAATGTAATTTTCTGTTGATGTTTTAATATATTTATGTTTTCAATATTGCGTACTTTTTCTTGTTGAACATCTCTTTATTAAATTTTTAATGGTTGATTTTTTTAAAAAAAATTATATGCTGAATCATAAAAAATATTTCTTTTTATTTCAAAAAATGGTTTATGAAATGGCACAAATTTTTTTTTAAAACGTAAGTGTGTGTATTTTTTATGGAATGTAAAAATTGGCTTTATGAAAGCCATTTTTTAAAAATTTTTTTAAACAAAAAACGGCTTTTACAAAGCCAATTTGTTTTTTACTTTTTTTTTAAAACAAAAAACGGCTTTTACAAAGCCAATTTGTTTTTTACAGTACTTTTGTTTTTACAAAAAACAGCTATGTGAAAACCAATTTTTAAAAAAAAATTCTAAAAAAAGGCTTTACTAAAGCCGATTTTCTCTCTGAGCAAATACCAGCTCCAAATCTTCCCTCTGCGGGAATTTATTCTCCCATCAGTGGCCAGGTGATCCCTTTACCCACCATCGCGTCACAGACCCGGCGACACCCATCCTTCCCTAAATTTCATCTGCACCGGTCTGATTGAGGTATGGTTTATCAATTTCATCTCTTGGGAAAACATCTTTGCTTTTATATCATTCGAATTAAGGATTTTAGGGCCGGGGAGGAGGCTACGCTCTGTTGGATGTGGTGTGAAATGTTGATATTAGACCTTTGTTTCCCTGGAGAAGGTAACACATACTCAGTATGTTCCTAATTTGCAAGCTGGAAAGTTAGTTCCTAGCAAGCATTGCTTATTTCCAAGCAGACTTTACATTTCTGGTGAATAACAGTCTAACCATCTACTCCGTATATTGGATTACACTTACACCATTGAAGCTACTCTTTCAAAATCTCTCAATATTGCAATCACAGGTTCTGTTATACCAGGCTTATCCCATGCTTTGAACAAGCTCATATACATTGTGACTTAATTCAATTCTAGATAGTGATTGCATATTTGTGTTTTTTTTTCCAAAACAATTACTCCGTATTTTAGTGTCTTTTTTGTTGAAAAGAAAAGTTTGTGTTCCCATCTTTTTTATGGTAATTGATATCGATATTCAATACATACTTAATAGAAAGGAAAATAGGATTCGGTTCCCTTTTGGTTCCCATTTTTCATGACAATAATATCATTGTTGTTAGAGTGATGAATGATACAATAGAATTACATAGGCTGCGTTCTATTTAGAGTTTGAGCTTCCCTTTTGGTTTGTTCTAGTGTTTCATTCCAGCATCTTACTGTAGTTCAGCTACAGTAACTTGCATTATCCAACACTATCCGCAATTTTTAAAATTAAGATTTACTTCTCCATAAAGTCACCCACTATTAAGAAAATACCTTTATCTTTAATATTACAATACAACTGCAACAACTCAAACAAGCATAACTTTTAATAGTTCTCAACAGTTGTTCTGACAGCAACACCAATAATGATCATACACCCAAAACCCACAAAATTTACATAAAAGATAGGGGTAGGAAATGAGTTAGGTAATGCATGCAAATTTACCACCATGTTTCTATTAAATTGTTTTAGAGCTTTACTGTGTTAGAGCAAACCAATTCTTGAAATAAAATTAAGGCCTGGTTGGATAATGAAGACTTACTCTTAGCCATTGGCGCTGGATCAAGGTTTCAGATGATCCCTTCTTATCTCTCATTTTATCCCACCCTTGCAATTGGAAACAACCACACCCTTTGAAAAGGAGAATAAAAGTTGAAATTTTAACATATTTACTTTATTACTTACTGCTAATTAGACGAATATCAAGTAACTTGCTTTTTTTGTCATTGTTACCCACTGTAATTTCTCCAAATTTGTCCCAGAAACTACTCTTATGGGATCGAGTTGGGTTGCTTTTGTTGTTGTTGTTACCCAGTGTAATTTGATTTATTAAGTCTAATAGATGGGGGCACTGCACTGCCCATTGACTATGGCTGAAATAAGTTGTAGACTGTAGTAGTGTTACTTCTTTTCTTCATTCTACAAGTCTTGCTTAATGCTTGTGATTACTCATTGTTATAGGGAACATGTTTGCAGGAATATGGGTTCTAAGAACAATATCTAGTTTTTAGTTCTGCTTTGTGTAGATTTCGTTTATCTTTATATGTTGAAGATAATATTGAAGATTGAGGTTATGGCATGATATTATTAATAGCTCAAGAATAAACTACATAGAGGGAACAAGTTCACAATATCTTATGATGTACAATTTAGAGATTCCACTTTCACACATATACTATATGAACTCAAATGAAAAACAAATTTGAAAAAAAGAAATGAATGACTTTTTTGCATATAGGCATATAAAGCAATACCCCTAATGCATGGGGTTATTGTGGTACGTTATTGATTAGCTAGAGTGGCACCGAGTCCACAAGCAATGCAATTATGTGAGGTTTCAGGACTTTTTCAGGATGAGTGTATCCATCTTGGTTGTGTTGGTATGTAACAAAAACAATCCGAGCAAGGTTCACAATGCGCCAGAGTATATCTCCAGATACAGGTGTTGGCTTAAGAATTCCTTCATTCAAATCTTTTAATGCGATTTTGGCTAATTCTTGGAACTTTTCCAAGGCTTCTTCTAGTGATACACCATATTCATTCATGTAGCATTCAATACCGGTTGTAACTTGTCCTCTATCTTTCTCAACCTGTAATTGGTAAAATTAGCACAAATAATTAGTTAAGCATATATAATTAAAGAATTTACCACACCAAAAAATATGGATTTTTATATAATATATATGCATTTCTTACATCAAAGGTAGCAATGTCGTCGATAAGCCTGCATAAGGCTACGCTTGCCTCAAGTATTTTTGGATTCTTAATTAACCAGTCAAATACTTGTTCATCAGCAGACTTCACTCCATAGCAAGATATTGTGGCTAACAAGTAGTAGGTGCAACTAACGAATGCATTTCTTAAGTATTCAGTAAATACAGGCTTATGTCCTTCAATAAACCACTTGGCCTCGATATAGTAGCATCTCACAAGTTCCTTCATCTATTTAATTTAATAATAAACACAACATTAGACTTCTGAAATAATTATTATGGATGAAAATTTAAAAGAAAGGTAGCGCAAAAACTGAATCATATTGCTATGGAAAAATTAATTAGTATACTGTAATTACCCTCTCCATCGCGTGTTGAACAGCGTATGATCTTCCATCCTTGGAGAGATCTTTGGTGTCTTCGTCAAAAAGATCTAATAAAGCTTTGTAGCTTATCTTCATATAGTTTGGAAGCCGATCCATTTGGTCGACATTCCACCTAAAAGTGAATGCAAATTCATTAGTACAAACTTTAACTATCGTACCATACTACACCTAGAAAATTAGTACAAGGATTGGATCTTGTAGACAATTCTATATTGCAATTTGACTTGCAATTTACAAAAATATAAGGTACTTACTTGCATATAGCATCTGTGAAGACCTCCAATTCTTCTATGGTACCATATGCATCATAAGTGTCATCTAAAATTGAAACAATTAAAATATTTTTGGCAAGCATTACTCGAGCCTTGGAAAATTGAGGCTCAAAATAGACTCCAAGTGCCCAAAAATAACATTCAACTGCTCTGTCCCTTGCATAAGGAAGAGTTGTCGCAAAGTCTAGCTCTTTCCACCACCTACATTTGTAAGAAAACTTGAGAATTAAAATGGAATGAAAAATCACGTGCTGTTTGCGTGTTTGTATATATAGAATATGTATAGAATTTGCAGAAATTATGACAAAAATGAATAACTAACCTTGACACTTCACTCAGTTCTTGTTTGTGCAGCATCTGCAGAAAGTTATAATCTAACTTTGCAAAGCGGAGCAACATGTCATTCCGATTCATATCATTTTCTTGCTCGTAGACTGAAATGAAAAAGCGTGTTTCAATTCTGGGCATGCCAGTATGCAATGGTTGCTCGAGGGCGTGCGCCACAAGCTTCTCCAGAGCGGAGTTGGATTTGAAATTTTGATTTACGCATTGAAGACGAGTCATGGTGAAGGTGAGCGCGTTGTCCAAAACATCATCACCATGTGTTCTCGCATATGAAGCTTCATACAGACTCAACAAACCCTTGATATCGGAGGTATCCTTGAATTTTCTGTTGCTATCAACAAAGCTGTTGAATATATCTACATCCACATCAATATTATATGAGACAAATTTCTAGTGAGTACATTGAATCTTATCTTCATGGTATTATTTGAAATTGTATTGGTTGTGTTTACCAGAAGAAATCTTGAAGCCATGTTGTCTGAGCAGGCGAAACTGAAGAGAAACAGTTTGCAAATCATCATGAGAGTGTTGTGCATGATGGCGGGCGATGTAAATATGCTGCAGTTGATCTTCAATCTCTCTCTCAAAATGGTAGGCTACTCCGAGTCGTTCTAGTAAGTCGATGAATTTCAGTTTCTCTGTGACATTGTAGTTGCTTGAACTAATTAATGTCACCCTTGTTTGCTCCTTCAAAATTTCAATCTCTTTTGCATATGCTTCTGCAACCTGTGGGCACAGAAAACACAATGTTTAGATCTTAAGTGATTTCATTTCTTATTTGAAAATCAATGGTTAGATCATATAAATAATCCTAACAGTAACTATACTATGTGGTATATGAATGATGATGGATAGATATCCGTAAAATCTTATACTTGGAAATCAACAAGTCAACAACCAACACATTAGCAGTAGAATTAATTGACAGAGTAATTGAATGGAAATGAATTACCTCATTGTCAATGGAGTATGAATAGAATTGGTCACCCCATAAACTGGGAGGGAAGTCTACAACCGGGCGAACGATATCGGTTTCGCACTTCACCCCCGAAGTTGCCATTGTGTTGTCGATCGATTGATAAGCTTAGAGAGTTAAACTATGTATAAGTACTGAGTATATATTATTGGCTTATGAGGTTTAAGGATGCTGTATACTAGGGATTATGATGAATTAATGAGAAGATTGTGAATGGGGTAGACAAGCAAAGCGTAGTATTTATATATAGTCAGTCTGTGGCAACTGTACGTACGTCAACTAAAGCGCAATCATCATTATTATATTAGGATCCATTTAGAGGTACAGTCGTCAAATAAGACTGGTCAAATAAAATTGACATATCCATTCCGTATTTTAAGTATATATTTTGTTTAAGAGAGGAAAAATTATCTTTAATAATTCCATTTTTCATGTTTTTTTCAAAAATAATTCTATTTTTTACTATCATTGGAAATAATCGCACATTTCTGTATGTGTGCGATTTTAGGCCGATGTTAAAAAGCTAACGGTCATTTAATGGAATTTTTGAAAAATGTTTGTTTTTAGCAAATAAATGAAAGGTGAGATCATTTAAGGTAAATTTACTTTTCTCTTTTTTTAATTTTAATTTTAAAATTTATGTTTTTAAAAATATAATAGTACACGCTTTTTAGAGATTTGTTTCAATTTTTTAAAAAATATAGCGATTTAGAAATTTTGTTTTATGTTATTGTGGAAATATAAATTTAAATTATTGAGAAATAATTCAGAGAATTGCTCAAGAAAAAAATTGTAACAAAAAAATGTAATGAGTTATAAAATTAATTAGTGCATTTTTGGAGAAAAAAATATTGTGTAGTTTTTACAACTTTTGAGTTACTGTTTTGGGGCAAAATTTGTACTCTATTATTAAAAAAATCACAAGTTGGGTAGTTCCATCTTTGAAAAAACAATACAGGTAATTTAAGATTATCAATAAACATTTTGGAATGTTCTTCATGAAAAAATTGCAATATAATAAAAAATGTAGTGAGTTATTAAAATAAAAGTTTCATTTCAGAGAAAATTGATTGTGTTATTTTCACAATTTTTGTAATGTTGTTTTGCAAAAAACATTTATATAGAATTATTAAAAAATATTCACAAGTATTGTAGTACCATTTTAAAAAAATAATAATTGTATAGTATCGAAAAACAATTTGAAGCGTCGCTTAAGAAAAATAATTGCAACTTACAACGAAATGTAGTGAGTTATGAATTAAATAAATTAGCTCCATTGTGTAGAATAATTTATTATTTAATTATTGCCAGATTATCGATTACTGAAAAAAATAATTAGTTTCACTTGAAAAAACACTTAACACATTTTTAAAAACTACCTTTAAAATTAATTTTAGAAATTAAAAAATGAAAAAAAAGAGAATTTACCAAAAATAATCTCACTTTTCATTAATTTGCAAAACATAAGAATTTTCTAAAAAAATCCATTAAATAGCCATTAGCTTTTTAACGGTGACCCAAAACTCGCACCCATGCGGAAATGTGATATTATTTCCGGTGACAGTGAAAAATACGATTAATTTTTTTAAAGTACGCGAAAAGGTGAGATTATTTGAGATAATTTTCCCATAAATATTTTGTTTAAGTATATATTTCTTTCACTGTGACTTCCCCGTTCCGTAATAATTTTCCTAATTTCTTTTCGTCCGTCCAGAAAAAATGTTCTGCTTTCCACTTTTGGATTTTCTCTCAAAAAAATATTGTTTTTCTTTCATGTGCACAATTTGTTTTGGGCAAGGTTCCCATGACATTGCCCGGCAATGTCATGGGATGACCCGGAGCCGCTCCGGTGCCCCGTTCGTAAAATTGACGGTTACTACCCCCACCTCGCCCCGACCCGAACACACCCCCCACCCCCTGCAATTGTACCCCACAAATCGATTTTGATTTTGTAGTCAAATTTTGACTCCAAAGTCAAAATCGACTTGTGGGGTGCAATTGGAGGGGGTGGGGGGGTGTGTTCGGGTCAGGGCGCGGTGGGGGGGGGGGGTTTACTGGGGAGGTTAGGGGGGTAGGAACCGTCAATTTTACGAACGGGGCACCGGAGCACCCCTAGGTCATCCCATGACATTAGTGGGAACTTTCCCCTTTTTACTATACTCTCTCCGTCCCAAATTATAATGCATGTTTATTATTCACAGGGTCAAACTTCATTCATTTTCTTTCTCTATTTTCGTTAGCAATTTGATAAAATAAAATATTATTGTCACTACTAGTTTTGTAGATCTTTTGATGTAGTTTTTTAATATGTAATTTTTATTTTTTAATTTTATACCATTTGTCATATAAAATGGTTTGAAAATAATTTCAGTCAAATATCGTAAACCGAAACAAACGTTATAAAATAGGACGGAAGTAGTACAATTTACGGAGTAACTTAAAAGCATTGAAGTTAAAAATAGGGTACAACTTGGAAGGCATGGCTCCGAAACAAATTAGGCAAAGTCAGACTGTGGGACTACTTGAGAAGTTAAGACGCCTTTCCAAAGAGCCATGCTAGGGGTACACCAAATGTGTACCCCATTTGTCCCCCACCTCCTTCTTCACCATTTATTTCTATTTACTTTTTATTTATTTAATTTTTTTTTAAATTTTTGCCCATTTTTGTGGTAATGGAGGGGGTGGGGGACAAATGGGGTATACCTTTGGTGTACCCCTACCATTTTTCCTTTCCAAATTAGGCAAGTTGACATTTGACATTCTACTAGCCGCCGCCGCCACAATTTTAAATACTCCCAATATCTTAAAAAATAAGATAAAGCTATTTGTACCCCAACTTTTATACCACACTTTGTACCCTGTAGGTTTGCACCGACACTTTATGTTCGTGTAAATTTTTCTTAACGCACCAACACTTGTGTCGATGTAAACAATCAAAATGTTTGTGTATAACTGCGGTGTACAAATGGGGTATAATTTGTGGTGTAAGTGTAGCATGACCCTAAAAAATAATACTTCCATCGTTCCATTTTATATTGATTATTTTAACTTTGGAGCATATTTAAAGAATGGAAAAAATGGTGTTGATATTTCAAAAATGCATTACTTTTTTTACGGAGATAGTGATGAATGAGAAGATAAGATGGATAGGGGTGATTTATTTTAGGGTTAGTTTAGGTATTTTACCCTTAAAAGTTTATTATTATACAAAAAACATGCAACTTATTTTGGGACGAACAAAAAAGGAAAACATGCAATTTAAAATGAGAAAGAGGGAGAACAATTTAATATCTAAAGCTTGAAAAATTCAAAAAAGAAAACTAAAAAAATTTAGAAAAAACTAAAAAAATCTGAAAAAACGTGGTGGCATTAGGGTAAATAAGTTGAACTTTTCTCTCAGTGCCGAAAATGTACTACCACAGTGTAAAAATACTTCGTGATGGCATAAAAATGAAACAATATCGTTGTCCGCCGCTTTTGTTTAAAAAAGAAAAAATTCAGAAATTGCATCTGATGGTGTAAATATAGATGGGTGGGTTGACCGGGTTCAACCTGGACACACTTGACCCGTAGTAAAATACACACAACAAGAACACAAAGTATAACCTAGACCGGGTAAATATCCTCAGTCCGAATTATATTTCTTACTCTATCTCAAGATTGAACTTTTAGTGAGAGAAAAATTGGATCCCCTCCTCTATCAAATATCATCATATTTATAGAGGAGGATTTGTGACCTTTCCCTGTTCATCCATGGACAAAATAGGAAGCTCGTGGGAAGGTCACTGTAGTTAATGGGAACACTGTACAATCATTGATTTCAATAGCTACAAGCCAAGACATTGTTCAATCAAAGACTATAAATGGATATTCTCAATCCAATCAACCCCGCAAGGTGACAAATATCCCTTTCACTATATGCCTCGTGATGGATGAGCGGCGGGGTGGTCCCTCGGTCTTTGACGTGGTTCACCATGCGTGCGAGTCTGGACCAATGTTTGTCAAGTAAGATGATATGACCGGTCACCTTTTCTCAAAGGTTGACCGGTCATTTCTTGAGCTCAACCTGTCTTTTTGGTCTTCCGAAATATCCTTCGTAACATTAGGTGACATTTTGGCTATCGCCCAAAATGTGACCGGTCACTTTTTTAAGGAAAGTGACCGGTCAACTTTTGACCCGTCTCAATCGAAGAGTTAACCTCATTTGGTGATTGATGAAAGTGACCGGTCATATTTTGACATGTCCTTTTCGATTGTCCGGGCCGGGTATAGGGATATACCCATTAGCATCGAAACTAGCAAACTAAATCCCCGCTTGTCGGCTGTCAAAAAAGAGTAAATTCCATAATTAGTCCTTTATAAAATGGAGATTTTTCTATTTAGTCCTCTGTTATCAAATATTACTCCGGTGGTCCTTCTTTTATAGGTATCTTTCTATAAATAATCTTTGTTTGATTTTCTATCATGTTGGTGTTAATTTGAAGGCTAAAAGTGTAGTTTCACCATGATAATATATCTTTCTTGTCATATACAATTCCAAATCCTGCTTCTGATTCGACGTTTGTGAATTATAGTCGCTCTCTACTACAATCGTAGTCTACAGATATAGTCTTTCGTCGGAATCCTAGCCCACAATTATAGTCATTTTTGTGTTATTCACCTAACCAATAATAGAATATGTCAATGGACATAAGGTTGATGATAAATTATACTTTTAGCCTTTAAATTAACACCAACGTGGCAGAAGATTAAAAAACCATTTGCGGAAAGGCACCTTTAAAAGAAGGACTACAAAAGTAATATTTGATAATAGAGAACTAAATATAAAAATTCTCTTGTTATAAAAGATGAATTATAAAATTTACTCAAAAAACCCACTTCTAGAGCGTAATAAATATGAAAACTATTGAATATACCAGCCATTATTTTTTAAATAAATATTGAAACCAAAAGATAATCCCTTGCTTCTAGAGCATAAAAAAATTTAAGAAAATGAAAAATATAGAAACCGACTATCCCACTCTAAGAGCCCTAGAAATGGTCATGAAGTCTGGGACTTCAAACCTTCTCTTTCTGCCACATCAGCTTTAACTTGCACTAAAATTTTACTGGAAATGGGTTTGAAGCCCCGGGGCTTCAAACTGGGACTTCAATCCTCTATTTTATTACATTTTTGAGTACACATCTTCTAAAACTAAATTAATAACATTTCATTATTTAATTAAATTTATATGTAAATAATTCATTAAATAAAAAATACATTCGGTAAAAATCATATTAATAAAATAAGATTTGAATAATAACAACATAAATAAATAAATAAATTACAAGAAATTAGTGATTATTCGAGCAACTTAATACTTGTAACTGCTCAATGTCGCTCGGTGTCAGCTTACGTAAATACCTTTTATGATAAAGTATAATAATAGCTTTAGAATATTTATAAACACGTGACCTGATGCTCTGAGACGGCATCTTCAAATTTTGTCGGACATATCAGATGTCATCACGTACGCCATCTGACAAAGCGCAGTAGTGCACTTTTGGACGCTTCTAAAACCGTGTCAGCCTCTCGCATCAAAACGTTGAGTGAACTAAGACCCCTTGTGTTCAATATCGATGAGTATGCATAAAAAAAGAGAACGATTCATCCGAAAATATTTGCTAAAATTCTCTGATGCGTAAACGCACGGAGTATTGAAGTAGTCGTTGAGCAGTGAAGCGTGTGCAGCCGCCCAGTCACGGTTTAAACGCTTATGTCGGGTCAAGCGTCGTTGTCGGGAGGATTCCGCTTGTTCACGTTGGCCTTGTTGCCACCATTGATAACAACCCGTCGTGAAATAACAAAAAATGAGAGCTCTCTCATCATCAGATGATGATCTTATTTTTCAAATATTTTGTATAGAGAATTAAAAGAAATAAAAGAATAGGTTGTGTCACTTGTGTGTGTTTGTTGTGTTAAAAATAAGGGGTATTTGTAGTATTGAAAATATTTTTTTAAACAAATAATGTCCAACAACATTATAGCCATTTGGGCCACCAACGGCTCTCCCCAGCCCCTCCCCTTTCTCAGCGTTAAACATTTATATAACGCGGCGGTAGGGGGCGGTGTTTAACGCCCGACTGCTATAAACGGCTAATGACGCCCCCTCCCTCGGCGTTAAGACCATTACCAGTAGTCTTACCTTTAAAAAAGGAAAAAAATTACATATAAACACTTCCATACCATATGGCGTGTGATTACATAAGGGTCAACCAAAAAACTTACCACACCATAAAAGAAGAATAATCCATATAGCAGATGATTAAACAAGTGAAGTTGCAGAGAAAGTAATATCATATAAATATGGGAATTGTTAGAGCAATTGTGTTATTTATTAAATTTGAAAATATTGACGTGAAATAGTATAGAAAATTAGTTGGAATAATGATGCAAATTTTACTTTCCTTTTTCAATTTTCATCTTACTCCAAAGCCAAAAAAAATAGTACTCCCTCTCTCCTAAATTAAATTGCATGTTTACTACTCCATCCGCTAACTTACTTTATTTTTGTTAGACATTTGATAAAATAATATAGTCATGTCACCACTAGTTTTGTAGATCTTATTATATATGCTACGTTCCATTCGCTTGATCGTATTTGATTTGATTTGATTTTTTGAGGTTTTGATCTGATCTGGTCTAATTTGATCTCATATGATCTGATTAGATCTGATTTGATTTGATCTGATTGGATCTGATCTAAAATGAATTTGAATAAAATTAAAATTTTTATTATAATAGTTATAATATAAATAATATAAATATTAATAATAATAATACTAATAGTAATAATAACAATAGTAATGAGAATTGTAATGATAATAATAATAACTATAATAATAATACTAATAATATTAGTAATAATAATAATAGAAATAATAATAATAATAATAATAATAATAGAAATAATAATAATAATAGTAATAATTATAATAACAATAGTAATAATTATTATAGTCATAATAATAATAGTAATGGTAATAATAATAATACAAATAATAATAATAACGGAAATAATAATAATTGTAATAATAATAATAGTAATAATAGTTATAATAATAATAGTAATAGTAATAATAATAATAATAATAGTAATAATAAATATAATAAGAATTATAGTAATAATCATAATAATAATAATAATAGTAACAATAATAATATTATTAATATTTAAAGTAATAATAATAACCATAGTAATTATAATTATAATCATAATAGTAATAGTAACAATAATACTAATAATAGTGGTTATAATAGTAATAGTAATAATAATAATAATAATAATAATAATCATGATTTTCTTTAGATCTGGTCTGATCTGATCTGATTGGATCTGATCTGAACTTATCTAATATGATCTGATTTTAATAAGAATAAGTAATAAGTAGAAAAAATAAGTTGAACGAAATGTTGCCATAATTTTTAAATACTCCCTCCGTCGAACAATAATGTTCTCGTTCATTATTCACAAGGTCAAACTTTATTCACTTTATTGACGTATTTCTGTTACCTATTTGATGCAATAATACTCCCGCCGTCCCAAAAAAGACTCACAGTTACTATTCACAGGTCAAACTACTTCTACTTTATTTTTTACATTTTCATCGACTATTTGATAAAATAAAATAATCTTATCACCACTTGTTTTATAGAACTTTTGATATAGTTTTTTAATACATAATTTTATTTTTTAACTCCACACCAATTTATATTTATCTTGATTTGAAAATAGCTTCAGTTAAACATCGTAAACTGAACAGGACCCTTATTTAGGGGCGAAAGAAGTATAGTCATGACACCTTTAGTTTTGTAGGTCTTTTCATATACTCCCTCTTTTTCTTCAGAGACTTCCTTTTTTATTTTTTTATTTTTCCTACAACACTTCTACTCTCTATTAAAAACCACTTTTACCTCTATTTTTTTCTAATTCTATCTATCACATTTTACTTTTTCACTAACAATCTAGCTATCATATATTACTTTTACCAATCACATCAAGGACACAATTAAAAAATTAACCCCAAATATACACTTTATTTCTCCTAAAAGCCAATAAGAACCATTTTATGAAATTGATGGAGTAGTTCTTAAATACGGAATATGTAATTTTTATTTTTTAATTTCATATGATTTTTCATATAGAATAATTTAAAAATAACTCCAGTCAAATATTATAACGAGCAATGGGAACATTATTGTTGGATGGAGGGAGTATGTAATTTTTATTTATTAATTCCACACCGTTTCTCATAAAAAATAATTAAAAATTAACTACAGTCAAATATCATAAAACGAAACAGGCAATTTAAATTCAATGAGAAATTATAGAAACAGCCGAGGACGATTAAATTCAATAATATGTACAAATGGAATAGCTCCCAGCACCATAGTATGAATCAGACATTAAATATGTCTAATGAGAAGAAATCCAACAATCAATTATCTTACATGACCAGATAGAAGGTTTATATCCGACATATACACATAGAGAGTAAGGCTTTTTTTACAGAGTACAAGTTTTACAACAGTTAGGCAACTACATATAAGCCTATACTTTTTGTCAACATAGACCAAAGGAACTTCGTGGCAAATTACAAGCAGTTAGTGCGAGCCTGACTTCAAACATTGTCATGTCAACAAGGAACAGCTCCAGTTTCGGCAAGCAAAGCGCATAGTGTGGTCTTTGTGTTTGGTTGAACTAAGACAAGATGGGAAGGGCATTCTTGGCTCGAGGGTGCGGCTGGAATTTCATTTTATACAAAGAGCAAAGTGGTTGATGTTTGTTACACACAAAAATAATACTCCCATCAATATAATAAAGTACTACTTTCAACTTTTAAGATGTTGCATTTTGGCACGTCTCACCGTGACACAACCTCATGCACACGGTCTACCCTTTGGGGAGAGAAAACGCCTCTAAAGGCCATGTAGCAAATGAAAACGCAATGATTGAGGGAATATTGGGCATCAAATGCATCATAATATTGAGAGGCTATAGGCTTACCACGGCAGAAAATGTGACAATATCTGGTTTAAGATCAGGTGCGTGAAAGCGTATAAAGGCTCCCTTGTTACCAAACTGCATGCATCCATTTAAGAGTCGCATTTTAAGAGAGACAAATAATAATTATAATTAAGCTCTGCAATTATAATAACTATTACTATTATTACACTAATAACATATAGTACGGAGAGATAAACTTATTTTATTTTAACAAATTTTTTTAGGATGAACCATATGATATAAATCCCATCATCGATGTATTATTCTATTTACCCTATCATATTCAATGCAATTTACTGGAGTAAGAATCAAACAACTTATATAAGTGGAAAACTCAGAAGCTGGGGTACCAGATTGCAGTAGTTAGGAGCAGAGAAGACGGTGATGAGTTTACCGTCATGCTCAACCTCATAGCCTTCATCTTTTACTTCATGTGATCGCACAACTAAGTCTGAAATAGGAATATAAAGAGAATTCATTTTCTAGTTATGATAATAAGATCCCGTTTGGATAGGGCCAATTTGGCTGAAATTGTGGCTAATATTATGATGAGGTTGATGAATTATGAAAAAATATAGATAAAATATACTACTTATACGTTTGATACAACAAATAAATCAAATATGCAAGAAAAAGTCTACTCTCTAAAATTTAATTATCATCACCGTCAACAAAAAAAATTACCTTCAGCCAATCAGAGCCCTGCTCATCATTATCCAATTTTGGCATTTCAAAAATAATCCAAAAAAAATGGGAACCTAACTGCCTCTAAACCTCAAAACAGTATGAAAGCGATTTCAATCATCACTGCTCAGTAGGAAAGGAAGAGGGAAACAAAAGCACCTAGATTATTTTCCTCCAAGAATCGTTTTGTTACATCCCCGCCAAATAAGAGACCGACACCCCGTCTACTAGGTCCTCTTCCAAGTTGAGGTTGTGGGTCGCTCCACAGCAGTTCACACATCAACCCTGGAAAAATTGTGACCAAGAAGTATGAAGCCAATTATTTAGATTCATCAACAAACAATCTACCATCTGAAAGGACTAAGACAGGAATTTAGAGATGATATAAAACCAAAAATTACAAACTTGCAATAAGCAACATAATATTGATGACCAACCAGAGAAGTTTATTTTGAGAGGAACCAAAAACAAAAGTCGCAATTTGATTTTGGGACAGAGGAAGAGTTTACATTAATACTACTTCCATTGGAGCATACCTTGTTCTGGTGGCTCACAAAACCGATCAATTGCTCTAATATCAGAGAGCTTTACACCATCAACACTAAAAAGCCCTCCGTGAACAACAAATATCTTCCCATTTATCACATGAGCTAAGGGTAAACAGCAGAACACTTCCGCAAAAAGTTCAACAAATGTTTCATTTAATTTTGAACGAACTTCGCTCTCAAAACCATATACTCTGTTCATGCTCTTGCTTTCATGATTGCCTCGAGAGAGATAAACAGCTGGAAATGTTAATGGGATGCAATGGTCAACTACAGAACATATAGTCAATGGTCACATGCACCTGAAACTATGAGAGCAAACAATAATGCAGCCTGCTTACCTGATGGGCACATGCATTTCAAAGCAAACAATGTCAGTATGACTTCTACAGAGAAGGACCCTCTATCAACAAAATCACCATTGAAGAGGTATGGATTATCTTCAGATGGAAGCCCATTGAGCTCAAAAATATTTAGAAGGTCAAAAAACTGCAACCACGAGAGAATCCGAGAAGGTCACCAATGGAAACAAGCAAAAAATGGTCATAATAATACTCCCTTTGTCCTGAAAAAAATCCACTTTCCCGTTTTTGTTGTCCCTTTCAAACCACTCAATGTCACATCTTTTAATAAATGTGCCCTTTCAAATGTGGAAACGTAATTTGAGATGGAACAACAACAACAACAACAACCTAGTTGAATCCCACTACAGTAAGGTCTGGGGAGGGTGTGTGTACGCAGACCTTGCCCCTACTCGGAAGTAGGGAGGCTGTTTCCAAGAGACCCCCGGCTCAACCTGCGTAATTTGAGATGGAGGAAGTAATAAAGTAGTCCGTATAAACCATCAATAGAGAAAAAGTATAACCGGCCAAATGAAGTTACACAAAAGAAAACTTAATTGGTCACATTGTTATATAATGCCTTTGAAATAATTTACAGCCACAGATATAGTAGATACTGCCATTTAACAAACGATCTACCAACATCTTTCAAACCACTCAATGTCACATTTCTTAATAAATGTGGAACCATAATTTGAGATGGAGGGAGTAATAAAATAATCTGTATAAACAATCACTAGAGAGAAAGTATAACCAGACAAATGAAGTTAAACAAAAAAAAGACTTTATTGGTCATATTGTTATATCATGCTTTCAAGATAATTTACAGCCACAGATATTTTAGATACTGCCATTTAACAAACGATCTACCAACATCTTTCAAGCCACTCAATGTCACATTTCTTAATAAATGTGCCCGGTCAAAATGTGGAACCATAATTCGAGATGGGGGGAGAAATAAAGCAGTCTGTATAAACCATCAATAGAGAGAGTATAACCAGACAAATGAAGTTAAACAAAAAAAACTTAATTGGTCATATTGTTATATCATACCTTCAAGAAAAATTACAGCCACAGATATTGTATTTATTGCCATTTAACAAAGATCTACCAGCATCATATCTATAAAAAGTCAGTTACTTGATTTTCTTAATATTGGGTTTGTAAGTACGTACATTCATTTCGAGTTAATCTTCTCTATGCTCATTCAAGTTATTCAGAAACAAAGTTGTAAGCATAAGCTATATATATTTAAAAACTAAAAAATAAAAAAATAAATTTTTTTTACAGAGTATTCCATATTTTCATCATGCCACATTAAAAAAATCAAAATTATTTTCAGGTCCTTAAGGGTCCAGCAGAGATTTGGCTTTGAATCATATATGTAGCATTATAATTCCTTGTTATAGAAAATGTCAAATGTGAAGGGAATATTGCAACAGAAACTATGAGAATGTCAGTCAACGAAGTGAAGAAACACAACAATGCAGCAATAAGTAACAGCTTCTTACCTGACCATGCACATCGCCACAAACAGTAATATGCTTGCCATGAGGAACCTCAATGTCAACCAGAGAGGGCAATGATTTCAGCATCATTCTTGTTTGTAAAACAATTTGGTATGCATATCTATGGAGAGAAAAAACCCATGAAACAATGTAACTTCAAAACCAATCTGCAGTTAACTATGCACATATAAATGCCAATACCTTTCATGTAATCTCTTAAGGTGTTTGAAGTCATCCATCATTTTCTTCACAAAATCTAAAGTTAAAATATCTCCCTCAAACATTGCATCACTATATTGAGGCTCCATTCCTACATGTGATACAATAGAAGTATAACCTGAAACAATACTAAAGCATTTGTTACTGTGTCTGGCACTTTAGTGACGATCTACGTTATAACATGTCCAGCAATAATTCAAATCAGAAGCCATTCAGAAGAATCTCTTAACCATAAATCGATTACATAAGAAAAGGGGTAGTATTGGCAATGATCATCGAATAGTGATATTAAGAAAGGGAACGTCATCATATCGCCATCTCCACCATTAAAAGCCAGTAGAATAATAGCTTTACAAATAATTGAGAACTTAAATAGGTTTATTAGAAATTCACAGTTTAGAACACAAAACATGCAATACTTATTAAAAAAAGAGAAAGGTACTGTACTTCAAAAGTTCAGTGAATAGCCTTTCTCAATCACTAAGAAATGTTTGCTAGCATTACACCCTTGTGGTGGGACCCTTCCCTCACTCAGCGAGGGTGTTGTGTTCACCGGGCTGCCCTTTATTTAGTAGCTCCTATTCACTAAGAAAAGGACTTGTGTATCATTGCCATCACCAAGAATTTGTGAATTTACAAGAGACAGAAATAAGGTCTAATTATCTTTGAGGCCTTGAGTCTTCACGCATCATTCGTGATTATATTTGTCAGGGAGAAAAATTCTCATATAAAAAAACATGTTGCAATATGTATGGATAAGAAACTCATGTGTTGCATTTGTTAGACTGATGCTCTATTTTAATGTTCTTGATATATTAACCCAAACTGTATACATAAATTGCCACAAACCTGTTCCAACTGTTTCACGCTTGGAAAGGAAACTGTGATTGAGGCAGCCTAGCCACAGAGCTACGAAGAATGTCGCCAAAGCTGTTGACAGCAACAGGCCCAACCGTGTGGTTGATCTAGAGCTCATATATACCAGTAATGCAATGCCGATTGCTGATGCTAAATCAGTTACTTTTTTGTAAGTAAATGAATAGCCAGAGCTTGACCCTATAACAATCATATAGAAATGTGTTTACAGCTACAGGGTGAGATATATCATATATGCAAAACGAACATGTTGTAATTAAGCTAAAACAAAACCAGGCAATCTTGCTTCCTGTTAGTTAAAAAATGCAAAACTTCTTTGATGGTAAATAACAAGAATGAAGTAATAGTTCAACTCAAAGTTGTTAAGGAGCCAAACTAAGGTCAAACATTGCAATGGTATTGTAGGATTGTAGCATAAATTTCACAAACTCCATTCACAAGTAGGAGAGAAACATATAGGTGGCCATTAGACCTATAAATCGTGTCGGACAGGTCGGGTTTGGTTCTCGTCATTCCTGGTTCAGGTCATTTCCGGGTATGGGTGATTTATAGTTTGGGCTGAAAACCCCTCAATTGTTTAGGGTTAGGGTTGACCCATCAGGTCTAGAATTCCTTTTCAATCACGTTATAAATAATTTTTTTATTCTGTTTGTTAGCTTAAATTTATAATATGACCAATAATAATGCTATTACTTACAATTATATGTAAAATTAAGGTTAAAATGAAGCATATACTTCAATTTATATATTGAGTTCCCGAGAAACAATGTAGTTTAAAATTATACTTTGTTAGCGTATATACAACTTATCAAGTTAACTATTTAATATTATTGATTAAGTAATAAATACACCAAAAATATATTTCTCAAATCAACAACAACCCAGTTGGATCCCACGAGAGTAGGGTCTGTGTACACAGACCTTGCCCCTAACTAAAAGTAGAGAGGCTATTTCCATGAGACCCCCGGCTCAAGCTGCACATAAAAAAGATCACTATAGATACATAAAACAAGAAAAGCACATATACAACACAATAAAGCCCCATATTCTCAAAACTATGCGTATGAATATTAACTAGTGAGATCAATCCAACAGGTCCAAACGAGTTGGGTCGGGTTTGACCCAAAACATTTTGCATCTATCCGATTGGGGTCATTTCAGGTTAGGTCCAGGCGGGTTCAGATCAGGTTTCCATCCAAAACGTCACGTTCAAGAACCTAATATTCCAGGCAGGTTCAGATCAGGTTTGCAGGTGTGATTGAAGATTTACAGGTCTAGTGGCAATACATCCTAAATGAGAATAACTTCAATATTTTCGAGGGAGGGAAATCAGAAGAACGCCATTAATTTCTAAGAAGATTACTGCCACAATTACTTAATATTCTGATATTGGCTCATGTACGGGCCGAATGAGGTCAACCCAACAGGTCCAAACGGGTTGGGTCAGGTTTGACCCAAAACATTTTGCATCCAATGGATTTGGGTCATTTGGGGTTGGGTCCAGGCGGCCNTTTGCAGGTGTGATTGAAGATTTACAGGTCTAGTGGCAATACATCCTAAATGAGAATAACTTCAATATTTTAGAGGGAAATCAGAAGAACGCCATTAATTTCTAAGAAGATTACTGCCACAATTACTTAATATTCTGATATTGGCTCATGTACGGGCCGAATGAGGTCAACCCAACAGGTCCAAACGGGTTGGGTCAGGTTTGACCCAAAACATTTTGCATCCAATGGATTTGGGTCATTTGGGGTTGGGTCCAGGCGGCCCGGGCGGGTTCAGATCAGGTTTGCATCCAAAAAGGCACATTCAAGACCCTAATATTCCAGGCGGGTTAAGATCAGATTTGCAGATAGGATTGAAAATTTACAGGTCTAGTGGCAATACATCCTAAATGAGAATAACTTCAATATTTTCAAGGGCAATCAGAAGAACGCCATTAATTTCTTAGAAGATTACTGCCACAATTACTTCATATTATGATATTGGATCATGTACGGGCCGAATGAACCAAACGAGCTTAGGAATCTCATAATTCTAGTATTAGTTTCCTATGATTATAATTTTTGTTGTTGTCATTATTATTATTACTATTATTAGTAATATTATTATTATTCTAATTAGATTCCTACGAATATTAGTATTGGTTTCCTATTATTTTTTTAAAGATGGATCCCTGTTATTATTAGTTTCCTAAAATCACTTTAATATCATTCGAAACATTTCCAATTTCCAAATACGTTTCTTTGTGGTTTGCAAGAATCTACTTAAAAAGTCTATTTGCCTTGTAAATTCAAGTTTAGGAGGAATTATAAGAAAGGTAGTTAGAGTAGTATTGTTTTTATTAAAAAAACCTCTCCAAAAGCTCTTCCTCTTCTTTGCACTCGGTTCATTGTGCTCCTGCTTACACAGGAGGGCAGTGGCCACAATAGGTAACATCATGTTGGAGTCTTCAATAAAAATAGAATGCTCTGTGATGCAGGCATTCACGAGGGAACATAATATATACCTAACTGCCTATGCTATAATAGATGAAGTTTATTACGGCATAAAATAATCAAAGAAAGTTTTCCTCCCAATCTTTCATTTCATCCACAGAACTCATTTATTGCATCAGAGTATAATCCCACCCATGACAGTGATTAGCATTTCAAAAGAATTACAAGATATAGCAGATGGATGAATAGGATGCACCAAAACCCAACTGGAGTAAATTCCTCATTTCCTTCTATGCTTACCAAATTGAGTCGCGGTAACGAAAGCCAGGACAGAGGATGAGTTGAAATATTTATAAATTAGCTATCATACCTATAGATTGATATTCAATAGAATCAGCTACTGATTGTTTAAGAGATTCAGGTACAGCAATATTTTTTGCAAATTCAAGCTTTGTCGCACATTCCTTCAATTTCTCCATAATAAATGGGTCATTTGGGCATAATCTGTTGGCCTTAATCAACGGGGAGAGGAGAAAGAAAATGTTCAACAAACAGATAGTTAGAAGGTAAGACCATCATTGCATATGGTATCCTTATCATATCTAAAAAATGGGCTGCTTCAATGCAAGGAACCATATGCATAAACCAAAAGTAACTAAATCTATCGATCCATGACTGGAAATATATATATACATGAAAAGTTCTTGATTCGGTTTAAGATGTCTGATTGAATTAATTCTCAATTCAATTTATTTGAAAGTAAGTATAAAATTTAAAATTAAAATTGATATGCTCCCTCCGTACCAAATAAGGCTTATTTTCGGTTTACAATGTTTGACTAAGGTTATTTTCAAATCAATACAAGTAAAAATCGGTGTAAAATTCTAAAATAAAAAAAATATATTAAAAAACTGTGGTGACGAAGTTATTTTACTTTATCAAATGATCAATGAAAACGTATAAAGAAAGTAAGTTAGTTTGACCTGTGAATAATAATTAGGAGTCTTTTTCTTGGGACAAAGGATTATTTAAAAACTACAACAAAATTTCAACAAAAGAATAGGGACATGACTACTTTAATTAAGCAAATAATCAATGAAAATATGTAAGAGGAGAAAGTATAAGTATGATTTGACTATGTGGATAGAAACATAGGACGGACAACGGAGGGACTATCAAAATAGAGATAAAAAAACCTGTTGAAAATCTTTGAGTGCATCCTCAAACTTCCCCATTGCTAAATATGCATCACCTCGTCTATAGTACCCCTGAAGAATTCAATGGAATCCCATGTTAAAAGAAAACCTAAAACTATAGATATTGCAATAATACAGTCATATTTCTGCTATACTTCCAGAATCTCAACCTGCCTTTGCATATTTAGGGTCAACCTCAATAGCTTTTGAGGCATCATGTACGGCAGGGCCATACTCCTTCAGTTTGGTGTGGGCGAAGGCACGGTTAGCCCAATACACCGCATTCTGGCCGTCCGATTCAATTGCTCGTGTGTACAAATCGATGGCTTCAGCAAATTTATGCGCTGAATTTCATTTCGAAAAATATCAAAGGAGAAAGGAAAAGATCCGTTTCTGTTCCCAGTGAGAAATTGCGTGCGCATACAATTTGTACATAAGAGCGGAATGGCGGTACCTTTGAAGGACTCATTTGCTAGGAGTTTGAACTGCTCTGCTTTGGAGCCGTTGGAAGACTCCATTGACGAAATTCGGATTATTTCTTTGCTTTTCTGAGTTCACGAGCCTTCTTCGATTGGACTGGTTTCTTCAGGGAACCTGAACGGAGACTGGAACTGCGAACACGACGGCCGGCAACCGGTGAAGACGACGGACTTAATCGGTGGTATATGTAGGGCTGTTCTAACTTCTAATTTACTTCTAACTTCCACTCCTATTGTGATACTCCGTACTTTTTAGGGTACTCCTATATTGACTTTGAATACTTCTCCCTAGTGTGTGTATGTAATACTATGTACTACTATAAGTGTATTATACACTTTGGACTTTGGAGGAGATTTCCTGGCCACGAAGTGATTCGGACTTTTTTATCCACAACAATGTGTAGACATTGAAAAAAATGACATTAAAATCACAACGGTGGGGTTCTAGTGACACCGGAGCACGGTGTCACTGGCATTTTGGGGCACCTCCGGTGCTCCATTCGCAAAATTGACGGTTCTTACCCCCCTAATCCACCCCCTAAACCCCCCCACCCTACCCCCGCCCCTGCACCCCCACCCCGCCGTAAGCCCCCACAAAATGTGTGGCTATTATGAACGCATAATAGCCACACATTTTGTGGGGGGGCTTACGGCGGGGTGGGGGTGGGGGTGCAGGGGCGGGGTAGGGTGGGGGGTTTAGGGGGTGGGTTAGGAGAGGTAAGAACCGTCAATTTTGCGAACGGAGCACCGGAGGTGCCCCAAAATGCCCATGGCACCGCTAGTGGCACCGTACTCCGGTGTCACTAGAACCCCACCGAAATCACAAACGTATTTAAGGTACCCGGAGTACTTCATTAGTTACATTGATAATTCATACCTACTATAATTCTTTCTTTACCCGCCAATTACCTGCCTTTGAATGTTGATTCGGCAATGCCAAATTTGTTGTAAAATGACTTGATAGACTTAACGAATCCCGTGAAAACACGCTTTCAGATTAAAGTTATTTTCGGTGTACCAAAATACTTCAATCGGATTAGACGTTAGTATATAGAACGAGTATAGACTTCCTTATATCCTCAAACATGACATGCACGCCCATAATATAGGCATTTGGGTGATCGGATGTGATCGTTGGCCGAATAAACGCAACCCGTGGGAAAAAACTTATCTTTTGGGCAGTTATCCAATTCGACTTATTCAAATAAGTGACCACTTATTCGAATAGTTCAAGTCTTTCAAAAACCAGACCTATGCAGAACAATTCGAATAAATGGACATTTATTCGAATAGTTGGGGTTTTCTAAAAACAGACATGTGCTGAACTATTCGAATAAATGTGGATTTATTCGAATAGTTCACAATGTTGAGCCTTATTTGAGTATGTTTTCCATACGTTCAGAAATTACAAATTTTAGACTTCGATTACGAAAATCTGAAGGATTTTCATAAAGCGATAATGTCCAAAATAAAAAATTTTCCAACGTACCTGGCAGCTCGACCCCGTTACTGGGGGCTACCGCCCCCGGACCCCCTGCCATGGAATTTTTAATATTGTTGAACGAGCGTGCGCTCCGCACGTCCTAACTCGTTAACAACATATATTAAAATTCTTATCTGATCTTAAGTTAATCTAATTACACAAAATACCGATGATACTAAAATTACCAACAAAATTGGCAACCAAGAGTGTGCTAGATGAGGTGTTGGAGTTAATTAAGGCTAATGGTGGTTAGTATCATCAACTTACCATTAAAGCACCGTAGATATTTGTATCATTTTAATATTAGTTTTTTAATGTCAAAAGATCCATTGTGTTTTTTTATATTCTTCCCGTCTCAAAATTATGGTTTCACTTCAAACAATGTGCAAAGTCTAATCTTTTCTAAAACTATTTTGTTTGCAAATTGAAATAAAAAATTATGAAGTATATACTCCGTATATAAAAACTACATAAAAGAATTTACAAAGCAAGAGGTATCATGAATTTTTATTTTATCAAATGGTCATTAAAAATGAAAACAACCAAAAAAAGAATATCGAAGATCGACAGACTAGAGTAGTAACTCTGACAACAATACTAAGGCGGTAAGTACTCCCTTTATCCGAAAATGAATTGTCAAAACACTAATCACACGGTCAAACGTTATTCACTTTATTTGTTGATTTTCAGAACTATTTCATAATACCAAATAATCATGTCGTCTCTTGAATTGAATAACTATTTATATAATTTTGAAATATATAAATTTTATTTTTGAATTTTAATATTTACTAAACCACAATAGAAAATTCAAGAATTAACCTAGGGGTACACCAACATGGGGTACCCCATATGTACACCAAACCAACACAGACACATACAGACACATACAGACACAAAATGTCTGTGAAGCACAGACATTTTGTGTCTGTGTGTCTGTGTTAGCTTAAGGTACATATAGGGTACCTCATGTTAGTGTACCCCTAGCATTGCCCAAAATTTAATTTCCGATCGAATAAGTAAATTTTTTTAATACAGAGTAAAAAATCATAGAAGAAAAAAAGGTTATCACTCCCGGTTAAGATGCTAGCACGGAGTAAAAAATGAGAATAATACCTTAATTGGAATGGTGAAAGAAATCCCCCAAAAAGTAATGTAAATCTAAACAGGTAACTTTGATTGGGTGGTTTCCCTCACTTGGAAAAAACACAAACATTAATTCCTGAAGTGGAATCCCAAATTCCCCACTAGGAAAATCGCATGTACTACATGCAAAAGTGTTTTTTTATTTTATTTTTAAAAATGTCAAATCTCAAATTCAATTATCCATCCCTTCTCATTCTTATTCAATATTCCCTTCGTCTCATAGTATTTATCCACTTTTATTTTTACACATCATCCAATGCACTTCTTTAATCTATTTAATCTTGTAATTTGTATATTAAAAAATTATAGAAATTATATATTAATAATCTATATGTTAAAACAAATAAAACAAGATCACACAATACGGGTATACGATTCAAAAGGAAGGAAGGGAAAGAGTTATCGGGCATTGAATTAATACATGCAATGTATCACCGAGTTGCTGCCTGTCCTGCTTGATTTGTTGAGTGGATATGATGAGCACTCGGAAGGCCCAATGGGGAAAAAGAAGTTCAATATCGAGGTCGTTGATGGGTGTCCACAACAAGATGACGGGTATGTGGTAAATTTTCATTTGGAACATAGCGACTAAAGTTGCATTCCAATTTGTTTGAAAATAGCCGGATGATTATTGATGTAAAGGATTATGTTTTAAACTGCAGGTGTAACTGTGGGATGTTTATGTTGAAGTTTGCAGAGTGTCTAATGATGGATAAAAAAATTTCTGATGTTCATGCACGCGACATGGAGGGGTACCGGGTTAAGATGACTACGGAGCTCATGGTATACAGTAACGAGCTGAAAGAGAAGGCCAAAGACAAATAGCCTTAGGGTGTGAAATTATTTGCAATGTTTCTGCATGGTGTGGACAGTTTTTTTTTGGGATGGGGGCAATTTGTATTATGTGGTGTCTCAGGATTTGAAATGTGATGTTGTTTTTTGTTGAATGGGTGGTACGGTATTTTTGTCATTTTAATTAGTTGTTTTTTTGTCTTTTGATATTTATTAAGTCAGACATTGTGATGTGTTGTCCTTGTTATGGACTACGAACGGTTGGTGTTTGAGTGTGGTTGTTACTTTAGTGTTGGTATTGTAACGCCCTAAAACATAGTCTAAAAGTTATTCTATTATAAAAGTATTTTTAGAAACAATATTTTGACTCAACAAAGCATTATTTCTATGTTTGACCAAAAACGAAGGAATTTTTAGAGTCAATAATTTTTGTTAAGATTGACTTTTATGGATAGGTCTTGAAAAGACGAAACCAACGGTATATTTTATGAATACATCTGATGTACATCAGTTATGACATTTTAAATATGTAATTTGTATAAAAATGAGAAAAAGTCAAAGATGTGAACTTTTGTAAAATGATGTATTGAAATAAGTATTTATATTTAATAATATTGATTGAATATGAGACTAATTTTAATTACATATCAATTAATTCAATTTTGACTCTGTCAAAGTCTCAAAGTCAACACCCAAAAATATGATGTCAGAAAAAAGTATTTCAAATAAATATAAAAATTATATCATTAAATAGAGTTTGACTGTCTCATCGCAACGGTGTAAACAGATTTCAATTAGGAGAAAGTTGGACCAAAAAGTGTACCCCGACTGGGACCAAAATTAGTCCCAATCAGAGAACGGCGCCTCCTCCTCCACTATCGCCGAATGAACTCACAGCATTGGAAATCCTACACAGCATATGTTCTCTTCTCCTTTATCAACTCTATATAAAGAACACTCAAAATATTCAAATCTGCACCATTCTTTCTAAAATTTATCCCATTAAGATCATGAGAATGAGGAGAGTAGATTGCTGTTGTTGATTTCCGTCCAGGTCGCCGGAGCAAGCGGTGGTGTTCGCCGGAAGTTTCGCCGTTTTTCCGCTGGAATCATCGTTTCACTTCAATGTAAGCCCGTAGATATATCTAGTGACTAGAATGTTCGTATAGATCGTTTCTATGTTCATAAATGGTCGTTTGGTTGAGTTTTGTGTTTGACATATGTGAAGAACCAAGAATCATAAATCTTGAATTTGTTGTTAAAACTTCGAATTGATGCCTCTAAAATGATCTACGAACCTTGGAGAACATTTCTATATAGTTTAATTGAAGTTTGGTGACCAAAAATGGAACTTGAGAAAAATGGGTTAGAGGTTGAAGATGATGAATAGTAACCCCTTCATCTTCCTGCACTTTCCAACGGAACGGACGACTGTTCAAACCCAACGGTCGACCGTTACGAACATTTTTAAGTCCAAAAATGGTATTTTTGAAGCTATAAAAGCCTATTTTTTTATACCAATCAATTATGATCAATATAAAAATAATTGTTAAAAATAAAAATGATGTTTTGACAAATAAAATTTCATGTGATAAAATAAAAATGATGTTTTGACAAATAAAATTTTATGTGATGTATGACGGTAAGCTAAGGTGTTAACACTCGATGCTAGACCGCTATTTGTTATTGGATATTGTTAAAATTATTATTGGTGTTGTTTATAATCAGACTTTGATGAATATTCTTATTAAAATAATAATTATGATTGATTAAATCATGATTAAAAATGAATATATTGATAATTATGAAATGATGTGTATTGTTAAGAGTATCTAGAAGAACTCTAAGATATACCCATTTAAATAATTTATATTAAGGTTATCTACAAGACCTCTAGAATAGATCTCAGATTAGAAGGGATTGTGAGAATCTGAATATTCGGTGATTTGATAAAAAAAATGTAACGGAACACGTAGACCAAACTAGAGGATCACTCGTTTGGAAATACTTCGACTCAATGATGATTAATTATTGTCTTATTGTTGCCTTAAACTAATTATAGTTTAAGCGTCTGAGAAATGTTTGCCTTAAACTAATTANGTTGTTATGATTTGGCCTTAGATTAAGAACGATTTAAGAGCACTATCGAAATAATAACTGAATTGAATAAAATATGTTGATAAGAACTGAATAATATCAAAACTGTGAATGTCTGAAGTGAACATTGTGTGCATGATATCAAATGATTTGATTATGAATTTAGATTCAGTTTATATGGATGTTCGACGCATTAGATATGCTTACTCAGCTTTACCGCTGAGCGTGTAGTATGTTTTAATTGCTACACGCAGGTAAACAGAAAAAACAATGTGATCCTGGTGGCAGATGAGGCGAGATTGTCGGGATGGATGTGACAAGTTTTGAAATGAATTATGATATGTCAATTTTTAATTCGCTTCCGCAATATTGTTGAATACTCCGTACTGTATATGTTATGAAAAAAATATTATTGTGATAAATAAAAGTGTTTGAAAAGTTTTAAATTTTTACGATTTCCAAGTTAATACTTTAGTCCAAAAGGGGCTGCAGACCTGAACGGATTAGGGTGTTACAGGTATTGTGTGATTGCCGTATTGGTTATTAGTGATTCGTTCATGTTTATCGTTTGGTTTGGTGGTCCATTACTGTTCTTTTTTGAAGTGTTGGTTGATTGGAAGTGTTAAATCGGTTTACACTATCTTTTGTGCTGCTTGAAAAATGATATGTGTGAGCATCTTTCCCCGTGTAGACTGGCGCGGAGGTTCACTACTATAAATGATCTGACACACTTCACATGTCTTGCTTGGTAGTGTGGGGAGTGTTGCACTTTTTTTTGGAATTGTGGTATGGCAGTCAGTCGTATGGTTTCAAGTTTCTGTTTATGTTTGGGTATGTTGTCCCGATTTATATGTGGGGTACGTCTTAAATACTATACTGCCATTGTGTGATTTGTTTCGTTTGGCAGTATGATTGATTGGAATGGGCTAACGGCAGTGTTTGGTTGGTACTCGTGGGGTAACGGCAGTGTTTGATTGGAAGTACAGGGAAATGTGGTTGTTTGTCTGATGTTATTGGTTGATTTGGGATACACAGCCAGCATTATGACATTGTAGTAGTTTATCAGTATGCAATTTCAGGTTTTCCCCTCGTGATTTCAGTGGTGAATTTTTTTATTAGTGTTTTTATGTTGTTATTTAATTGGTGATATGTGTGTGTGTGTTGTGTTGTGTGTTATTTTTACACTTCCCCCGTATAGGGTAGTGTATGAGGCATGAATCTGCCAGTAAGGTAGGAGTTCCAGGTGCATAGTGTGTTTGTTGTATTACTTCCTTTGTTTTTTTTAAATGTATGTTGGCAGTGCATTCCATACGCATTTTCAAACCTTGGTTGTTGTTTGGGCCAATTCACAAACGTCGAAAACATGTTGCCTGGTGTCGGCATGTTTGGAATAAGCATCATTTATGGGTTATGACCAAATATGTTCGGCATATTTTGATACATTTCAAGCCGCTAACAAAAAAACATATTGTAATAAGGGATGTTGGGGTTGCGTGGATCAATTGGGGAAAAGAGAGTATAGAATTAGGAAAAAGTTATCATAAATGTTTTTTATTAAGGTGCTGAGAATGGTGAGATAGATGAGTGAAGATGTGAGTATCTATAGAACTGTGGTGAGTACAGTCATCCCTTTGGGGTCGCATCTGGTGTGACACGACAAAGGGGGAGAGATGGAGCATGACGATTGGTAACCACCTTTGGGTCACGCCCCATACCACATAGTCTAAGAGCCAAAATTGCTCCAAATCAACTTAAGGCATTTTAATTTGGGTAGTGAGTCACAGGAAGCTATTACAGTAAATACACCATATCAACAAAATGTACTTTGAGAGGCATAATTATTTTATCATTTGAAAAATTTCTACTACCTTCGTCCATAAGTATTTATCAAGCTTGAACTTTATACAGTCCAAATCAATAAACTTTAACTATTAATTAAATAAAATTTATATTAAATTATGATACAAGAATAACTTTATTAGATTTATCCTCAAAGTATTATTTTATTTAATGAATATACGAAGTAACTTAGGACAAACTCATTGACTGCAAAATGTCAAAGGGCACCATGACAAAAAAAGGTGTAGCCATAATGCCCCTTCTAAATCATTAAATAAATATTTTTTAAGGAACTAGCCAATCAACGGCTAGACTTTGCAAAAGTTGGGGTGGGCACCGGCGTTAAACTACTAAGTCCTAACACCTTTTTTTTTGGCATATAATGCGCGAGGGGGAGGTGTACAGGGACGCCATGGCCGGCCAAAATGCCCACTACAGGTGATCTTAGAATCACTCGTCAATCCAACTACAAACTATGTCTACTTACTATGTAAATAATAAAAACAGAGTACTAACTTAAGAGACTGTAAACAGCCAACTCAATGAAAAGGAGAGTCATCATCAAACTTGTTCCTTCCTAGCGGAGACTACCACATATTGTCAAAAACATGTTGCAAAAGAATTTGTCATTATGATCTGAGTGAAGATTCTTCACAGATCATTTTTGGACACATATGTTTTGATCCTGCTGATTACCCAAACTGCCGTAGAATTTCAAAACTTTAGGGTGTACCATGATCTTTCCAGGATCAAAACTGGACAAATGAAGGCCTTCCAAGGTTTTCACACGCGAAAGTGCCACATATACCATCCCGTACCCAAAAGATCTGTTGAGATTTGTAGAAAGGCTGTTTATTGTCATGCCCTGACTTTTATGGACACTAAGAGCCCATGCCAGTATGAGTGGGATCTGTTTTCTTGTGGCAACCTTCTCCCTTCCATCCGTCAGCTCCCATGTTTCAGGACCAATTATAAGTTCATCAGACCCGAAGTCAAATTTCACGACAGGTAACCAGTTAGTGCCAAGTGTTTTATCTATACCATTAACGAACTCAAAACTCACAACAGTACCTGCAGCGCCGTTCACAAGTTTACCCCGACTGTCTAAGTTCTTAGTCAACATAACCCTTGCGCCTACACACAGTTCAACATAATCAGGTGCGATTCCAGTCCTTAAGCCTTCTTTCCATATGCCACTGTCAAAAGCTCTATAACCTATAAGGTCCTTGTGAAGGCTTTCTAGGTGCATTCTGTTTACTCTGTCCACATCATCTGTCCTTGGAAAGAGCTTTACAGCTAAAGGATCGGCCTCCAAATCTGAGCAACGACTTTCCAAAAGCTTCAGGTCCTCTGAATCATATGTCCCTGTCCTTATTCCCCGAAGAAGTTTTATAAGACGAGGATCCGATTGCCTAAAAACAGCAGTGAGATCAATCTGCATGTCAAAAACCATATTCCAGCTAGAAGCTTCAAAAGCAAATTTATTTGTGTTGTTGTCAAAGATAGGGGGTAACTGATGGAAATCTCCACTCCCAACTAGTTGAATACCACCCCAAATCATCTCCCCATGAGACCCAGGTTCGCTTCGTATCTTGCGTGCTATGAACTCAAGCTTATCAAACACTTCTCCACTTATAAGGCTAATTTCATCAATAATCAGCACCTTGGCCTCCTTCCATCGGTGAAGTGCGGTTCTGTTGGAGTTTACCTTGTGTAGCAATTCTTCAGCTGAGGCTTCGCCAAGCCCTATGCCAGCAAAAGAATGAAGGGTGCACCCATTCAGCGCGCAAGCTGCAATACCCGTAGAGGCAGTCACGTAAACCCCTGATCGCCCGTGAACCTTGCGAAGCAATTTGATGATATGCTGGACCAATAGGGTTTTGCCTGTTCCAGCTGATCCAGTCACGAAAACCGACTTACCCTTAGATATGGCATCCAGAACTTGTAATTGTTCTTGGTTCCATTTTATTCCACCCCTCTTAGGCTTAGAATACAAAATATCAAAACCCTTCTCCTTGATCTTGGATGTCGGAGGATAACAGGTGGCGCCCTTTCTAGTTGCCTTAGAGCTGAAATATCTATAAGTTGCTCTTGCAGAGAAGAATATCAAATTCATGGCGCTCCTACACACACACACACTGTGATCAGAACCCTACCCTTCTTGCAACAATCAAATTATACTATCCAGTGAATGCACTCAGAATCTCATTCAAGAAGAACACTTTTGGTGGTAAATAATTTCTACCCTTCTTGTAACAACAAAATCATACAAACCAGTGAATCCACCCAGAATCTCATCCAAAGACAACCTTTTGATGGTGAATAATCTCTACACTTCCTGCAACAATCAAACCAAACTATCCAGTGAGTCCACTCAACCTCTCATCCAAAAAGAACCCTTTTGGTGGTGAACAATTTCTACCCTTCCTGTAGCACCCAATTACAGATTCAATCCCATTCAAACTCAAACACGTCATCTAGAGAACACTGAACAATGCCTGCACAGATGTATTTTACGGAGTAAAATGAAAGACGAACTGGGAGTATATTTCTCTGTAAATTCTATCCAAGATTAGGTCAATGGGAGAATTTAAAATCTTATTAAAAATTTGTCAATGCATACGCAACCGAATAGTTTTTGTCTGACGGGAAATATAAATGAAATACAAGAGAAAAAAGAGTTTACATACCAAATGGCGATTCCTCTTCCTTTAGATTGCTGATGGGCCATTGTTAGAGACTTGGCGAGAGAGAAGTTAACGCACAGACTATGTGCGTGGAATGAAAAATTGGGTACACCTTTTATGGTGTACAGCATTTGTGTCCCACTGCTTCCTCCACCACATAACCACATAAATGAACAAGAACTCTAAAAAAATTAAATAAATAAAAAATAGATAAAAATGGTGGTAGAGAAGGGAGTGAGGGACAAATAGGGTACACTTTTGGTGTACCCCTAGCATTGCTCGCGTGGAATAGAATTGTGAAAGGAAGAAAAATGCTAGGGGTACACCTTTGGTGTACCCCATTTGTCCCCCACCCCTTCCATTACCACAAAAATGGTCAAGAGATTAAAAAAAATTAAATAAATAAAAATGGGGTAAAAATGAGTAGTGGAGAAAGATGTGGGAGACAAATGGGGTACAGCTTTGGTATACCCCTAGCATTGCTCGTGGAAGGAATTTTGAGTGGGCGGGATTAGCTGTGTGTATAGGTGGTGGACACCAAACAAATCAAATAAGGATTAATATTCGAATATAATGATTCGAATTTGCATTATTCAAATATAAACTCAAATTCAAATATTATTTTTAATTCGAATACTAAACAAATACAAATAGAGATATATTTGATTCGGATGATATTCGAATATATGTATATACACATAAACCATGTTTTCAACATCAAAAGTCAAGCAAACTAATATAGTATAAAATGTACTCCCTCTGTCCACCATAGATCTTCCCAGACACTATTCACAGGGTCAAACTTTACTCACTTTGTTTGCTCAATTTTACTAGTCATTTCATAAAATAATATAGTCTTGTCATCTCTAGTTTTGTACAACTTTTCATGTAGTTTATTACTATATGAATTTTATTTTAAATTTTTACTCCTATAATCAATTAAATTGAATTGAAAATAAAGTCGGTCAAGCCTCGTAACGCGTAATGGGAAGATCATACATGGACAGAGGGACTATTTAAATTACGGAGTACTAAGAATTTGAAAAATTAACGTAACACGAAAATCTAAAGCATATGACTTTAATAGTTATATTTTATAAAATATAATTTATGTAAGATACAAATGTATTAATGTTTTTATATACGGAGTATAGTATATAATATACGGAGTATCGTAAGTTAAATTACAGAATGATATTAGTCCATCATATAAATTACAGAGTATAATTATTCAAATATTCATTTAAGATTCGTTAACTATTCGAATATTAATCAAATACATATTCAAATTTTATTTTGTCTAATATTCGGTTTCAGATTCGTATTCGAAAAAATTAAACAATTACAAATTCAAATATCTGGGTATTCGTTTTGATTCGGTTCGTTTACACCCCTAGTCCTAAGACAAAACCCAAAAAATAAATTCCAGCTATCTCAATTTTCTACTCTTTTCGTTTTTCAACAAATTAAACTCTTCTCCTTTTGACTTTTAGCCAAAATAAGGAAAATATATTTATGATTGATTTTCCAATTTTGTCAATGATGTGATGGTAAAAAGTATGTAGTATGAAAAAGTATGAGTAAAAGTGATTTTTTAATAAAAAATAGAAATGTTTTGGGGAAATAGAAAAAAATGAAAGAGAAATTAAAGGGTTTAGTAAAATGGAGGGACTAGCTAATAACTCTCAAAGCTTACTTAATCTCAAATAGGGGTGAGCATGGTACGGTATTTAGCTCGTACCGATACCGTACCAAATATTTCGGTTCGGTATGGGATTTTACTCCGTACTGATCCCGATCCCGAAATATCGGTTCGATATGGTTCGGGATGGTTCGGTATCGGTTTCGGTACAAATCGGGATGAATATACATACCTACTTGCACATTAAAATTTAACAACGTCGCTTTATTTTTGAAAATTAAAAGTGAATTTAAATTAAAAAACATGAAAAATTAAAAAAAATGAATACTTAAATGCAAGAGATGCTCATCAAAACTTAGTTTATATTTCACAAACTAAAAAAAATGAACGACAACAAAGAAGTATTTCGAATCTTTGTGAATACTTTTATGTTCATACACAAAAACTAAAACTCAAATAAAAGTATAATTTACACATAATAGAACTTGAACCGATTTTTTTTTTAAAAATTATTATTTAGTGAAGTAATATAAAAATATTACTCTGGGGTATTATTTTTTATAATATTTTAGTATATATGTTCGGTTCGGGATTTTTGGTATGGGACGTCACCTCGAACCGTTCCTAAATACCGTACCGACCATTTGGTTCGGTACGGTTTGGTTCCTTCTCGGTACTTTTTCGGTTTGGGATTTTTTGGTTCGGTATTCTCGATTTTTTCGGGAAATTTCGGTATCGGTTCGGTACTTGCTCACCCCTAATCTCAAATATAATTTGGGGTACCCTCAATTTTATTCCATATTATCTAAAATATACATCCTTAAAATTTGTGACATTATACTCAGAGGGCCTATTCTCTCAATTTGGACGTTAGATTAAAAGTTCTTTTACTTTGACAAATTAAAGAAGTTTATTTAACTTTAATAAATTAAGAGTAAATTTCATAATTGGTCCTTTATAACAAGGGGTTTCCCTATTTAGTTCTCTATTATTAAATATTACCCCACTGGTCCTTCTTTTATGGGTATCTTTCCACAAATAGTTCTTTTTTTATCTTTATCATGTTGGAGTCAATTTGAGAGCTAAAAGTGTAATTTAACAATGATAATATATCTTTTCTGTCATACACAAATCCAAAGGTTGTTCTGTTTGCGTCGTTTGTGAATTACATTCGCTTTCTACTACAACTATAGTCTACAAATGTGGTCTTCCGTCGGAATCTTAGCCCACAATCATAGTCATTATTTTTGTGTTATCCACTTAACCAATATCAGAACATATGTCACTAGACATAATGTTGATGTCAAATTATACTTTTAGCCTTTAAATTAACACCCACATGGCGGATAGAAAAAAAAGAACCATTTGTGGAAAAGCACCCTTAAAAAAAGGACTACGAGGGTAATATTTGATAATAAAGGACTAAATATGGAAACTCCCTGTTATAAAAGACCAATTATGGAATTTACTCATAAATTAATGATAGATTATCAATGTAAAATTTTGTATTTGTCAAAGTAATATATTTTCAATAATCATAAGAGCAAAATAGATGGAATGTACCATCGGAGTACATTATCACAAATTTTAAAGACCCCTAGAGTATATTTTTGATAATATAGGACATGAAAGTTCTTATTAGAAAATCAAGAGTATATTTAAGATAATGAAAGACCTGAGAGTTATTTACAAGAAAATAAAGAGTACCCTGTACCCGGAGTAATCTTCTAGGTGAAAATATTTGTCTTAAAAATGAGGCTTCAAACCTGTTTCTATCACATTAGTTTTAATCCATTTTAATTTGTATTACAGATTTACTGGAAATACCATACTTGAAACTAGATTTTTTTAATTTTTAATATATAGTCTAAAAATTAAAATTAAAAAGATTTCATTAATAACAACATAAATAAAAATTACATTACTTTTGAAAAAACATAAATAAAAGTTACATAAAAAGGAAATAAAACATAAAAAATTACATAATATTAAAGATTTTCTGAACGGTTGAATATATGTTCATTCAAATCCACAGTTAATGTGTCGTGAATCTCTCGACTTCAAATTTCTTGGTGATTTCTTTATTTTTTTCTTCATAGATTTCTTTGTCGGTAGGTGTCTCCTCATCTGGGTTGTAGTGACAAATTACAAACTTATTGTCCTATATCTATATAATCATATTATGAAGAATAATATGCGTATAATGTTCCTCATTTTCGTTTGAGAATAACACGTAGACATACGATCAATACTGTGTCACTTATCCTTCAATAACTCAAAGACTTGTTCGATATCTTTTTTCCGCCTCATGAGAGATATGACGAAGGAAAATAGGGCATCATCGTCAATGGTATGGCGCCCGGACCCCAATGGTAAACTATCGACAACTTCGTCTCCACCATGGTCGTCTTCAACCAAGTGCAATTGGACAAGATCGATTCAACTCAAAAGTAAAGCTGTCGATGAGAAACTTCATCTAAAGTACGGACATAATAAACTAAAAGAGTATGAGATTCTGATCACGAGTGTTTATCATTTACCACCTCTAGAGCGCGCGACTGTTGTAAAAATGATGGACAAAATTAGCCGAAGTTGCTTGGAAGTGCGACTGACAACTTGGGCAGCGATCTTTAATTTTTTTAGTCAAGTAATTGTTTTTTTTGCATCCAGTAATTGTATTTTGTTGCCATCTATTGCTCTTTTTTGCATCATGAATTTTTTATTTGAATTTTAATGAAATATTTATTTAATATTTTTATTTAAAGTTATTTTAGTATAAATATATTTTAAAAAAATTAAAAAGATAGCCATGATGGGTGGGATGTACCTAATGATGAGTTGTGATGAGAAAAAGAAAAACTAATAATGTGATTGAGTAAGGTGACATGAACCAGACCTATGTATAATCCTAATGATGATGCATAACATAAAAATTATTCCACCTGTTTCTTAAAACAGTTTATCTTTCTTTTTCCTAAACATTTTCACTCTCTATTAAAAATCTACTTTTATCCCTACTTATCACATCATATTTTTTTCACTAGTAATCTATCCAATACATTTTATTTTTATTTATCACATTAAAAATAAAATTAGAAAGTCAATCATAAATGTACGCTCTTTATTTTTTCTAAAAATCAAAATAAAAACCTTTTATTGAGAGGAGTAATTTTTTAAGTTAAAATAAGAAATGTTTTATAAAGGGGGGAGTAGATGTGAGTATGAGTATTGGACTAGTGATGCGTATATAGCATAGCATAAAAGAGGAATTAATTAACATACATTGACTCATCACATTCGATCAAGTGACATGCATTACAAACTCAAAATATAAAACAAAGGAAGTTGATGGAAGCAAAGTGATGAAAGTGACGACACTAGACATTAATTAATACCCCGGAGTAAATA